TTTCAGTGAGTTCAAATTGATACTTTTTTTACTCCACGTGGTCTTAAAAACTTCTGTGCRCCACTGAATCATCAATATTATAGGTATAGCCTATACCGTATAGGTTCATTAATGATAATTTAATTACTATAGGTACGCGTCTTTAACATCGTATAGCGTGTTAAAATGTGCTATAACATAATGTACCAACATACTGTGGGACCGTGGGAGGTTCCAATTTCGTAATACACAATTACAATAATTATTAGTTAGCATTTTTTTTTTTTTTGAAACTACCTACTTGATCCAGTTTAATTGAATTTTATCATTATCGTATCTTTTTAATAATAAAATTATGACCTTACTGAAATATTGTATTGGGTACAATATACTCTACCAGGTGATAAAATTGATTTTTGCGCTTTTATTCTACTACTTAAGTACAAATATACAAATGTACATAAATAATTTRTACTATATAGTATATATATATAGGGTTATTAATGATATTATAATTACTAGGTATACGCTTTAACGTCATGTAGCGTGTTAAAATGTGCCATTATATTATGTAGGTACCTACTTCCGTGGAAGGTCAAATTTTGTAATACGAAATTGGAATAACTAGTAATATATATATATATATATATATATTTTTTTTTTTGAAATTACCAATTTCAGATTAATTGAATTTAATCATAATCACCGATAGAAATAAAATTATGATAACTGGGACACGCGTATGCATAATACCAGTATTAGGAACCTATATACCTATATACCCATCCAAAATAATTCTCTTAAAGTGATTATGAAAGTAACTTCATAGTTCTTACGTTCTTCATTATATRTCTTAAGGCTACAAACCCCATTTCCCCTGAAAATTAGTTCTAAGTACRCTTWCTTGAATAGATATAATTTACATATAAAATGGTGATGATTATCACTTATCACTCCTTATTGACTAYGGTCTATGACTYGGTGCAGACTTTTTATTGAGAGTTGAATCTTTGTTAGAGTTATTATTTTTAATGAGTAAAAACAATAGTGTGACTGATTGTGTGAGTGTCTATGTAAAATATCAGAGACAAGTTCGTTTACACACACTGCCTCTTGTATAATTATATCTAGATCTACCATTGATGCTGATCGCGTATGAATTTCACGGGTGGACAAGTTRACGATATTTTTAAACTCGTTAAGTCAAATTGATATATAAGAAGAAGTAACTTAAGTCAAGTTGAAAGTAATTATTTCCTGTATATTATTCTGGGACATTTCTACGAATAATAGTACCCATCTAATATTTCGTAATGCAACAAAAATATAAATAAGTATTTACTAATGTTACTATACAAATAAAAAYTTAGYTTAATTTTAATTAATCTGTATAAAATTARCTCGCAGTTAACACGTTAAATGTGTTAAAAATTRCTGTTACTATTTAAGTTAAAATTATAGTTTAAAAAAAGAAAGTAACGAGTTATTTAACTTAATGAATATTATAACTTAACGTTCTAATTTAATTTTAATTTATAACTCMTTAATGCCAAGCCTTGACGAATTGAATGTAATTTTTACCAATATTTTGTAATGAAAAATTTGGAACACTCTGTGTTAACCGTTGATAGTCCGTTATATACATCGTTTGGCTATAATATATTATAAATCTATACCTACTTATATATTATATACRTAATTCGCACGTGGTCATAATGTAAAGGAGGAACTTCGCATCAATTTCAAGACGGGAGAGGGTAAAAATGAATTGCAGTTYACGGACTCAACCTCTGTAAMCCACCGCCCACAATTCATTTCCTTCCGCGCTTTAACCAAAGACTTTCATTTTTAAGATAAAAGTAAAACCAAAACATTTATAGCAAAAGTGCCGTAAGTGTCCGTGGTAAAGCGTATGTGGACATGTGGTCACATTATATTAGGCGGAACTTGGCATCGATTTCAAGGGGGAGGGCAAAAATAAATTGTGGTTAACGGATCCAACCTCTGCCTTCCCCCACGTTCACAATGTATTTCCTTCCGTGTGAGAACCGATGACTTTCGTTTTTAAAATAAAAGTAAAAAYAAAAAAATATATTACAAAAGTGACAAAATAGTATCTAAATTTGTTCATAAAATGGAATTTTAAAATCAGAGTTGCTTTTAATAAAATTCAAGTTCAGTTAATTTATAAATAATTAAATAATAAATAAAATACAATTATTATTGATAACGCATATTACATAATAATTTCCTAAACTAGAAAATTAGAAATATACTTACATTTATTTCTTGTTCCATTAACCCGTATTCTTCAAGAAAAATAACTTAATTAAATACATTTAGATACCTATAACAAATAGCCTTATTTCCATATATAGGTAGCTATATATTATATTTGATATTATACATGTGTATCGTATATATATAAAAATATACCATACTATACTGGATATATTATAATAACTATACTAATGAGTAAAATTATATTATATAATTATATTGATATAGATACAAATCACAGATGTAATATTCTCAGGAACATATTATAAAATGTTAAATGTAACCTAAATAAGTTACTTTTAAATTAAAAGTGATTTGGTTATGCAGCTATGCTCACATACATTTCGTATGCTTTTGGTAGATGCTGAACAATTATATTTATCAGTACTTAATAATTTAATTATATGCATATAGACAAGCTATTGGCTATATTGCCCATTTTCTGCGTTGAATAATATTTATTATTTTAAAATATATAGCTGGTTATATATAGATATTAAAAAAAAAAAATAGTAATATTAACTCAAGTTAATAAGTTAATTGAAAATTTTCATATAACTTTTAACTTAACTGAGTTAAAAAAATTAGGCTAACTGTTAACTTTAAACTTTTTAAAATGTTTTTCATCAACTTAACTAAGTTAAACAATATCATTAACTTGTCCAGGCTTGCATTTTATTATGATATCATTATACTATAATTATGATGATATTGTTGATTGTTTTGAACCGTTAAAGCACATAATCGGTTAGACTAGCAACTGCCACGATAGTTGACCAATCAGC